CCTGTACAGAACCCCATGGTAAGCGTCTCGTAGCAACTTAAAAGCTGGTCTCGGCCTCTGTTTGCTGGTGTGAGCACAGGCATGGACAGGCTCTGGTGCAGCTTGGCCCCCTCGACAAACAGGCATTCTTTATGTAAAAAAACCTACTTATTTATAGGGCCCCTCGAAATTCTATGTTAGGATTCGCAACAGGAACCTACCAAAAAAAGTAGGTTTTGGTAGTTTAAGGACTCACAAGGGGGCTAAAATGATCAGAATATGTGTCTGGGGTTTTGGGCTCCACCAGGCTCGCGGGGCGTGGGTGCCGGTGATTCAAGGCTGTCGCTTACTTTGTCCTTCTTATTCGGCTGAGGTCCAGGACCTGCGCTTTAGAGGGCTCGATGTAAGTAGGGGCAATTTAACTAAACCCTAAACCCTAAACCCTTAGACCCTTAAACCCTGCATCTCTAAACCCTCAAATGTTGAAGTTGGGAAGGTCGAGGTTGCACACTCGCATTTCCTTGAAGGCTTTGCGCGTCGTACAATCGGTGCAGCAAGGGGGAACTTCTGCATCGTCAGGTTCACCTTCAACCCATATCCCGACAATCCCTGAACTTTCCAAAACTTTACGCGCCAAACCCCCTGGAATCCCAGAGTCCCTTCCAGAGCAGTCCTCCCGGAGGTAGCCCTTGGAGCAATCAACCCTTCTGAAACCCCTAAACTCCCCCAAAAGCCCGCGACCGTAGCGCTGACTTGAGCGGGCCTGTGGGACATTCGCCGAGGTCCCTCTACTCAGGCCTCAGTGTCTGGGCGCCTGTGTGTCTGTGTGTCAATGTGTGTCTGTGTGTGTTCTTTGTGCCGTGGTTTGAGAGGGGGAGTTCCGGAAGTTCTGAAGTTCGGGCTTCGTGTTTTAATTCCCAGGTTTACGATTTCAAATTTCGGCTTGAGATCTCTGGATTGGGGCTTATAGGGCTGAGGAGGACAAGGTTCACTAGAGTCCATAATTTAAAACATTCTGGGATCTACTGTCCGGCACGTAAGATGGAGTCTTCATGGGGTCTTGGGTTTAGGGTCAAGGGCCTGCAGAGTGGGCCTACGGCTGTTCCGGATTTTCGATATGGGCTCTCAAAAAACCCTTTCTCTTCTGAACCTCCCATGCAGGGTCCCAGGCCTGAACGTTTCGGAATGTGATACACTGAACTGCTCTATTACACCACTAAGCCGGGATTCTTATCAAGGATTTTGCTTAGACATCCCAGTACATCAACCCCTGGAGGTTTCCTCTAACCCTCGTGATCTCCTGCGCTTCTGTTGTCGCATGTCAGACTAACATATATCAAGAGCTCGGATGCACCCTAAACTCCCTATAAGCCCTAAATCCCAAAGCCCAGCTGTAAGATTGTAGAGCGAGCCACCATGAAGCTCGCAACTAATTCATAAGCTCCTTACTCCGCACACCCCTAATCCACAGAACGGATTCTGTAGGGTAGATGGAAGAGAACCCTGGTCCCGATATCCTCCATGATACAGGATTCAGAATAAGAGCCCGAATGAGAACCTGCAGAGGGCTTACTTGGTCAAGTTTAGCGGTCAGGGTTTACTCTTCGGTTTAGAGTTTAGGGTTTAGGGTTTAGGGTTTAGGGTTTAGGGTTTAGGGCCCCTTCCACTGGGCGTCGCGCCGGTATACCCGCGACTGGCGGCAGTAGCCTCGCGCTGGATCGGCTCGAGCCTCTTGCACTTCAGATTTTGTGGAGGGGACCGTTTCATGCTCTTCGGGGGAAGGGTCCTACGATCCCACCATGTTTTTGTTGAGCGGTCTTTGTTCAGGGTCACCGACTTCCTGAAACCCTAAACCGTAACAGCCGTAACAAACACTCCCTTCTATAACTGGAGCCTGAACTCAATTCGCTAGGAGAGAGGATCTCTCGTGGGGCTTCCTAGAATACCTTAACCTACCAGAACCCACTTTTTTGTAGGTTCTTGTTATAAACCCTATTTTGGGATTTATAGGGACCCGACAAAAAGTAGGTTCTGGTAGGTCAAGGTAGTTGAACAGAGCCAGACCCCATAGTCTGGCACGTAGCCTAAACACGTGGAGCTTAAGGGTTTTGGGCTTCGGGGGGCTCTGGAAGATTATCTGGGATGCCCAGCAACCTCGGAATAAAAAAGGGCTACCTTCTTGGGTATTGGGTAGTTGTATACGGAACCTAAGACCAGAAACATGGAAAAAGGGCTCACCGGGAGACCTAGTTACGGCTATTGAACCTTCGGCTCAGGAATGGTGCTACTGCTGTAATACCTGAGCATCCGAATCCAGGGACCGACGTAAATCAGGAGACACTTCAACATACTTTATCCAGTACCTATAGTCTCCATCGGAGGTCCCTTTCTTGGCTACCTGACAGGATCCTGCATCGAACGTTGGTTAAACCAGAGAAAGGGAGTACAATGGAGACTATAAGCACTTGCGGAGGGGTAGTTCTGTAAAATAGGGTCCATTTTATAAGGGTGCCGTACTACAGATGGAACCTAAAGAGGGGCCCTAATTTAGAGAACTGCTTATCGAGTTGAAATCCGGCACTGCGGCTTGCTTTTCCAGAATGATTGGGCTTGAGGGGGTCTTGGGGCTCTGGGTCTATCATTATAGCATGTGTATGTATATATACGCACATACATACATACCTACATACATGCATGCATACATACATATCAATAAACAAATAAACAAACAAATTTATACATCTATATATATATATATACATACATACATACATACATACATACATACATACATACATACATACATACATACATACATATGTGTTTATATAGTTATATATATATATATGTCTCAATATATACATATGTTTTCCTGACCTAGTTTTGTCTATGGGGCAGTGCATTAAAAAAACAACCCGTAGGTTCTGGTAGTTCAAGTTACGGTACGGGGATCATGTACGACGCGGGGCCGCCTTGTCGCCTTGAACTGCAACCCCGTGGGGTCTGGGCTCTAGGTGCCTAGGTGCCTTGTCCGTCCCAAACTTTGAACCGAATGCTCTACTGTAGGGGCCCTTGAACAGAAAGAATAGGGCTTTGGGCTCCTTTATGGCAGAGTTATAATAAGGAGACTCCCAAAATAGTATTGGTAATTATTCAGGCTCCTATATTACTGTATGCATCTACAAGGCGGCTCTCCTCCACGTGGTATCACGGCAACCGGCGAGAAGAAACATGAAGATCATCTTCATAAACTGTATTAGCAGTGTGAAGATGATGAGGAGGAAGATGAGAAGTTTGGGAATGATGATGATGGTGATGATGATGATGATGATGGTGGTGATGATGATGGTGAAGGTGATGGTGATGAGGATGATGATGATGACGATGAAGATGATATGGATGTGCTAGGTTTCAATCAATTCGTTGTGCCTAGTGCCGTTAACCCCCTGAACCTTAAGCCCACGACTAGTGCTTACTAGTGCCAACGATCTAGAGCTATATATATATATATATATATATACACAACGTATATATATATATATACACATACATACATAGTATGTATATATATGTACATATATTATTAATATTTATATATATATATATAGACACACAAGTATTACTCACTTGACCGATTTTAAAATGCCTACTCTAAAAACTGCGGCCGGAGCTGCGGCCAAAGGGTCTCTGCGCCCATGGCTTCGGCTTGCCAAGAAGACAATGTCTTCACAAAAGACGGGCTAAACAGTTTAGGGCTACAGGGTTTAGGGTTTAGGGTTTAAGGTTTAGGGTTTAGGGGGCTAGGTTCTACGGGGTAGGGAGTCAGCTTGCATGTGACGAGATGCATCCACTGTTCCAATGTAGGCATGTGGATCCACGGAGGAGGCCGAGCATGTTTCGTTTCAAAGGCTTGGTTTGGGGGGGATTGAAGCTCGCGGCTCTACTACATTGACATGAGGTGCCTCAGAGCCTTGCCGCAGAGACATGGGTGAGCTGAAAGAAACCCATTGAGGCACAGTAACATATAGTAAGGCCGGCGAAGATGCCATCTGCCACTGCCTGTGACGCCATGATAGATACACCCCAAAGCTCGAACTCAAGCGCATGCGCACTACTCGGTAACAGCGGAAGCTCTTCACAGTCTTAACACAACGACAAAAAACATATTATTACTCTGCAAACAATGAGTCTCCCTGAACACTATTGCTATGTACTATTGCTACAGTACTCTTCACAGCTGCTTTCGTTATGACCCTGTTTCCCAGGCATGGGCCTAAAGCCTAAATATGCCTAAAACAAACCATGTAACGTCAAATCATAATAGATTTAAAGCCCTTGCCCTGAAGCAGCAACCCTAAACCCTAAACCCCTAAACCCTAAACCTGAAGCAGGAAACTCCACACCATGAGCCGCAAAGAGGGATATCTGGAGGCGAACCAGTGTACTTACCGCGTTACCCATCCATAAAAATACTACCACCGTGCAGTCGTACCACAATTGCTCCAGTTTTTGCCGTTGCCGATGCCCCGTCTGCTCTCTGTCTCTTGTAATGAGAGTCCGGCCAATACCCTAAGGCCATAGACCAAGCGCACGAAAAAACATCCTCAACGTCGCAGCCATGACGCCTTTGCTTTGGCGCACAGCAAGCACCAAGGTGATACGCCTCGGGCAGAATCGTAAGGACTGCTTCATGTTCGATTTGGGAGTGCGGGGCTTGGGCAGTAGGGGCGAGAAAGCCTACTAAGGTACACTCTGAAACCTACCCCTTCGCTCTTTAAACTTTACAAACCCTGAAGTGTCAGGAAGCCAGCACTGGTATCAACCTCGCAGCGCAGACGCAAACCGCGAGCTCTTTCAAGGAAGACCTTTCTCCGCCTGCAGCCTCTGCCGCACCGTGTCCAGTCCTCTTGAAAGGAAGAACTTGCGGACGGCAGGGCCGACCCGACCGAATGGTGCGACGCTCAAGCTTCGACCTTTGCGAGGCTTTCTTGTAGAAGCCACTGTTTCAGAGCTTTGACCCGTCACGGCAAGGGGGGCCGTATGACCCAAACGTAGTGGCCGCTAGTGGCGTCCCACTCGTCGTGCTTCCACTCAGCCTTCAACGGCACAACACCCCGCAACATTTGACATGCCTCACGGTAGTCATCGGTGCCCTTCTCGGCACCTATGCGAAAGCCGTGCCGAAATTCAGGCTTCAGATAGTCTCGGGGGCAGCCCGGATCCCGTATCACGTTGCCACCCTCGGCAAACGAGTGCAACTCAAACCACTCATAGTCCCTTTTGATGTCTTCTCGCAGCATTGCGCATGCGATGAGATACTCATCGGTGCCTGGAGCGGCACTTACGTGCAAATATGGATCGTCTGAACGCTTGCAGTTTGTGGTATCGTCGGGAACCCGAAAGAGGCGCCCAGCAGCTTTTGCGATCACCCACGTTCCCTTCCCGGGCCCTCGGTGATGAGAATGCCGGGCAAGAACTGGTGCAGTCGGGGACATGGGAACTCTCTTTTGGTCAGGGCCCCCAGCGGCCTTTGCAAAACCAACTGGTGCAGTCATTCCGTTTGCGGCATCGAGCGCTTGTAGATGCTCTACACCCGAACCTGCTGCAGCACCCCCCAGCACCGTATTGAAAATGGCTTTTGCGAGTGCATTGTGCATCTCCCTTTCCAGCTCAATTCCGGCGAAGTTCCATGCGAGGGTCTTGTCGTGAGGTTCCACCTCTTGCGCCCACTTTGCATCAGGACAAAGCCTCGCCCGGTCTGAATCATCTGAGATTCTGTCACCTCCGTTGTTGTAATGAACAGTGAACAGAACACTTGTGGTATGCACGCAGTTATGTCCACTTGTCCAGCAGCAAAGGTGACCATCTGGTTCTGCGGCATGCCACCAGAAAGGGCGATCCGCTCGTATTTGCTTCAACATTTGACAATCTCCGTGCTCCATGACAACGGTCTCAGACTTGTCCGTCAAGGCATCCTTCCTTTCGACTTGATGCTTGCAGCAGCACACATCCCCGTTGTCTCGTCCTCTCTGCTTGATGCTGGTGTCAAGATGGACATTTCCTCCTGACCCATCGCAATAGTTGTCACTGGCTTTGGTGCTTTTGCCACTGCACCCGAGTCCACCTTCAATCCAACAGCACCTGTCGACAGATCCCTCCCTGCCTTCGTGCCACCAGTACGGCTTCTCAGGCTCTTTCTTGTAAGCCGCACAATCGCGAACGGTGAGCATGCCTTGAGGCGCGTCTCTGCAACAGCAATGGTCCATTAGCGAGCTGTTGTCGCGGGCCTCGAAAGCCTCGGCGGCTTCCCGAAGGCCCCGCACCGGCACTCCGAACATCAGGACCAAGCACCAGGCGAAGTGCATGGCCCTGGAATGCAACATGGAACTAATTAGGAAGAACAGTGGATTTTCACACACAGACAGCTTGTTGCCTTCGAGTGGCTGCAGACTAGCACAGGCAGATCACCATATCCCACGTGTTTCGGTGATGTCTCTCGGAACAGGCGGAAGGCCACTCACTAGCAATTTCAGAAAGCACCTGCTCCGCACGACTGCCCGCCTTGGATCTTGCCTCTCTGAGCCGGGAAGTTGAGAGACACGCCGCATCAAGAAACGCCTTGGAGAGTACCCATTCTTCAGACGGCCAAACCAGTGTGTTTAGGGCCTCATTGGCGCTGCCTTTCAGGCTTATCTTGGCCAAAGTTGCAATTCTGGTTCCGAACTATTGCACGGCGTTTTTTAGGGAGGCGGAAGCTTAAGAACAATCCGACGGAAATCCGCTAGACAATCCGCCAGGACGTGAGCGAGGCTACTTGAATGTCCTTGCAAACAAGTCCACGAACAGTTCGATGCTCCGACAACCAACCCTGATCTTAAGTGATAGGGTTTAAGAAACATTGCGCGAAGCTGCATTGCAAAGTTGCATATAAGTTTTTGTGTTGCGCTAGATAATTGTCAGATAATTCGATGTCGGCGCATTACGAAGGGAACGTCGTGTTGGAATTCGGCTTTCACAGTCACTTGCTCTCGCCCACTCTGCTTAACCTGATGCCTACCGAGCCTACCGTTGATAAACATTTGTGGGTACTGGTGGCAAACCGTAGGCCCTGTTATTCCTCTAATTGGATGGGCTTGGGTGCCGGGGAAAGCTGGGTTACCTGATTCCTGTAATATTTTTACGGATGGGAAACAGTAGGCCAAACGAGGATGTATCTTAGTCGTATAATTGGACAGGCTTCGGTGGGGTAGAAACAGGGAGAGCTGTGACAATGGTTCACCATAGTTTGGGTGAAGCTGGGAAACAGTAGGCCAAATAGTGATGTATCTACTTGGAGGCTCTTTTGACTTAGTAAGTCTACTTAGTATCCCCCAGGAGCCCTATTATAATCCCCATAACCCACCTTACTAACCCTACTTACTAAGTCAAAAGGGCCTCCCTCCAAGTACTTCCTACAATTGGCCGGGCTTGGCCGGGGGGAAGCTGGGCAACCTGATTCCTATGGTTGCTGCTTTTTGGCTACTTTCATGACTACCCATAGGCCCCATAGTAGCTCCTCTTTGGGATTACCTAATAGGATCCTAAATATAAGCCACAAAAGGGAACTACTATGGGGCCTATGGGTATAGGTGACATGACCGATTTCCAACTTCAAGCCGGAGCTGCGGCCAAAGGGTCTCTGCGCCCATGTCTTCGGCTTGCCGACAAGTCCACGCATACGCAAAAGTCGAGCTAAACGGGCTTTTGCTGTGAGGCTCTTAGGGTTTAGGGTTGTGGGGCTGAGGATTTACGGGGTAGAGAATCTGTTGCTCTGCTCCAGTCTGCCATGGTGCTCCATTCAATGTAGGCATATGCATCCTCGCTGGAGGCCGAAAGTGCTGAGTTCGCGCCAGACGTGGGTGATCTGAACGTAGCGCATTCAGACATACAACAAGGCCGGCGACAATGACATCTGCCACTGCCTGTGATGCCTTGACAGATGCCCCCGCAAAAAAATGCTTCAAATTGCTTGAACTTGGAACCTGTGACGCCGTGATAGAGAACCCCCCCGCCCCTCTCGCCCAAAAACACAAACGATGCGGGAACTTGGAATAGACGGTATACGACATGGGTAGTTCTCTACATTGGGGTCCCTTTTCTGGTTCCCCGAAAAATGATACGGCACCCTTATGACAAGGACGTTCAAAGGGCGAGTTTAGAGAACTACCCATATGCACACTACTCGAGAGCAGGCACGTGTAAAATCTCAAAAGCATGTCTTACAAGCTAGACAGAAACAGTGGTACAGTACAGTACAGCACAGTACAATGTAGTATAGTGTATAGTCTAGGATCGTCTAGTAATGTGTAATAATTTAATATAATTTAGCAAAGTAGTATAGTAGCATCACCATTGTACTCTTTTTTAGGCATGAACTGCTCTGTGTTCTCCTTGTTCTTGTTACAATAGGAGAGCCCCAGACACCCTCCACACCGCCCCAGCGCTGACGTCTTTGTTTCCCACGCAGCTTGCGCGAAGGTGATACACCTCGGGCAGAATCGTAAGGGTCATCCCTAAACCCTAAACCCTAAACCTTAAACCCTAAACTCCCTAAAACCCTAAATCGTCGATTTAGCCCTAAGGCTCCCAAAAAACCCTAAACCTCCAAAAAGGTCCTAAACACCAAAGCCTTCAGACCCCTAAGCCGCTACCCCTTCCCATAGGCTCCATTGTAGTTCCTTTTTGGGGGTTACCTTACCCTTGGCATCAAAACAGCCCAGAAGCCTTATATAAGAGGGTCTTTGGGTCCAAGCCGTCAAATATGAGTCCTTTGAGGGTAAGGGTTTTGGAATCCTAAATATAAACGAGGAACTACCACGGAGCCCATGGTAGTTCCTGCTTGGGGTTACCTTATAGAACCCTAAATAAAAACGAGGAACTACTATGGAGCCTATATATAGGTAAACTGCAAGCCCATTGTAGTTCCTTCTTGGGGTTACCTTATAGAATCCTAAATGTAAACGAGGAACTACCATGGAGCCTATATATAGGTAAACTGCAAGCCCGCAAAGTCACACTCTGTGACGAGCAGCTGGGGGGCTCTCGGAAAGGACGCGATTACCAGGACCTCCAGCCGGTCAAGTCTTGCTTTACATATGGGTGGTTGTCAAAATTATGGTCCCTTTTTGGGTCCTTATTATAATACGGCACCTATTATTTAGACAACCACCCATATAGGGGTTTACGGTTGAGGGTTCAGTGGTGTAATGTAAGGGCCTTAACAATTTGGATACCCCCAAACCCTATTTTAATTTCTAAGGCCCCTATAGTCTAGTTTAGGGGCTCCAGGCTTTCGTATCTCAACTGAGGTTTAAAATGGCTTATCAACTCTAGCGCCCTAATATGGCGGGGAAGGGGCGGAGGAAGTAGTCATGATCATGATACCCTCATAGCCCCTGTGTAGTATACTTTACTAGGCCTCAAACTCCTGTTCTAATCATGAGTACCCCCATAAGGGACGCAGGCAGCAAGGTCATGATACCCTCATAGCCCCTGTGTAGTATACTTTACTAGGCCTCAAACTCCTGTTCTAATCATGAATACCCCCATAAGGGACGCAGGCAGCAAGGTCCTTGAGGCCCAGTTTGACATTAGACTGATTCCTTCACTTCACCCTCGAGAGACCTGTCCCACCCACCACGACTCCGCACAGTATAGGGGCCTTAATTCATTGGAACAAGGCTTTTTGGGTGATGTTGTTGTAGAATTATGCCAGGACTAGCAGACACTATCAGGGACACTACTACTTCCTCCGACCCTAGATTCACCTTGAAAGACGCAATGAATCCTCGCCACCCCCCTGACTTGGAAAGAACTCATGGGGACAGCTGGTGATATGGGGGTTTCCGAAAATAGGGGACCCTAATATAGTGCCCCAAATAGTAGGATCCTTATTATAAGGACCCCAAAATAAGGTACCCCTTATTTTCGGAAACCCCCATATTTACCGTGGCGGATTCTTGCAGGTCGAGTCGGAGGTCTAAGATCTCGATGCGTCGGGCTTCAACACCAGACCAGCAAAACAGTGGTGTCAAATCCTTCCGGCTTCGCCCCCTAAACCCCAAACCCTACAAACCCTATAAACCCTACAAGCCCTATAAGCCCTATAAGCCCTATAAACCCTATAAACCAGATAAACCCTATAAACCCTATAAGCCCCATGAACCCTATAAACCAGATAAACCCTATAAACCCTATAAGCCCTATAAACCCTAGACTCCTAAACCCCCTAAACACGCTTTTCGGTTTGGGGTTATATGGGGCTTCGGGCTCGAGAGCTTTGGCCGACAGGTGCGCAAAGGCCTCTCGCCAGCACGCACAGTGTCCATGAGATCCTCCAGGCCCTAAACCCTAAACCCTAAACCCTAAACCCTAAGCCCCCAGGGAGGGCCCGAAGAAGACGAGAGTTCCCAGGGCCCGAAGGAGACGAGAAGGAGCGTTGCTAAGACGGGGGGCCTTAAGAAGTCTGTTGTAGTGTAACCCCTAAGGCTCCATGTACCTATATAGTAGATACTTAAGCCTTAAAGTACCTATATAGGGACCCCTTTAAGGCCTAAGTATCTACTATAAAGGTACATGGAGCCTTTGGGAACTATAGATGGGAAGCCTAATGCACACTATCGGCGCCTTGACCACTAGAAGAGCGTGTTGGGGTATGTGTTGCTTATAACAATATGCACGACGAAATAGTTACAACACCCTCTACTGCAGCCCAACATGACGGACCGTATCATAGCTCGGGTAGAGCCCGAAACCCTACTGTAGTCCCCTTAGCACACAGCCACAGACTTCCTCTTCACCCCGGCCTGGTGGCCCCCCCAGTGCCGAAAGACTTTAAGGAGCGTTTGAAAGTATCATTCCCGGGGTCATATACTGCAGTACGCCACTAGTCCGGGTGTGGAAACACGATTAGAACTAATTAGAAGCCTATGCGGCGCACCGCCAATCCGCAAGGCAGGGTGCAAGGTTTTCTAGAAAAGTATACTCAATCATGTGCAGCCAGGGCCGGCCGAAAGCAGCTCAAAAGAAACATTTGAAAGCCAAAAGAAGCCTACCGAGAGCTTTCGAGAACATTCGAGAGCATTTGAGCAAGGGTTCTGGGGCCCCGAAGAGGCCGCAAAATCAGTGTGCCTAGAGAGAAAAGAAAACCAGATGGCGACCTTCACAAGCCCCAACAGCAAGGCTAATGCTGAGCGTTTTCCGTTCCGGGCACGTTTCAGTCCACATACAATCAGAGATACAAGCCGCGAGTATTCGAGAGCAAACTAGGAACTAAAAGCTCCTTTTAGCAAGCACAGGTCTCGAGAGCATCCGAGAGCTTTTGAAG